TGGGGACCTCGCGGTAGACGTTATAGGCGATGTAGATCTTGTTGTAGCTCTCATCGATCTTCTTGGTCCTACGGGTGCAAGATCGGTCAGATTCCGAGCCGGTGGCACGGATCTTTCCGAGATTTGTGATCCAGTAGGCATAGTGATAACGTCAGCATTTGCTGATGAATCAGTACCCATTGTAGAGTCTGGTGACGAAATGGTGTTGGGACCACCAGGAGCAGCGAATGAATAGGGTTCGCTTCCATTTCCTCCTGAGCTTGACATTGCAGGTTTCTGTAATGACTAGTCTTGTTCTTGGTCTCGTGTAGCTCGTACGGCTATAAAGAGCGCGTACGGCTGATAACCTGCGAGTGGATCTTAATCAGCGAAGTTTGAAGCTATCACTGACGGTCCATAAGCGGCGTAGCGTCGGAACGGAAACCGCACCTTTTCTAGTCGCTTGATCCTTGAGCCAAAGTACATATGGTACATATATATGTACATGTTGCACTGTACATGTCGCTGCACTTCCATTCGCAAAAATCATTGAACGTCAACCCAAAGCTTTTCGGAAAAGACTTGTAGTGCATTTTCTTTAAAGCAAACAAGGCAATCAAAGCTTCAGCTTTTGTGGGACGCCATTGGATCGGCACCCACTTTGCGATCCGAACACTGACGAAGACTTTCTGCAGGCCTTGCCGAATCCACCTCTGCCAACTTGCTGAAGATCGCAGAACTCACCTGGACGGTTTTAAAATCTGAAGAACCTGAGCTGGTCCTTTTAGGAAGCTCGTGCTCCTCTACTCCTCCACTCCGAATTCAATGGGGACAAGCAAGTCTTCATTTACGAGTACCAGAAAATGACAGCGATGTGGCTATGACGTAGCCCTGCACCGTCGAGTCAGGGCGCTGTTCGTGAGCATGTGAGAAACGTGAATGTATCTTATATGCTGCTCTATTGAATCCTTGGAGCCAGAACAAAAAAGAATGCTTTGCTCGAAATGATCGTCATTTGTGTGATTTTGTGGGCTGGCACTTATACTTACTTCTATATAGTTTTTTGTTTTCTTTGACATGAACTCTGCTCTTTAGGCTTCGAAGCGGAGTCTCAAAGACTCTCAAAGACCCAGTGAGGACCCAGTATTCCATGTTCAATCAAGCTGCGTGCAAGAAGTCCTCCTGGCAGCACAGATGCAGGATGAAAACAACGGGTGCTTCGTTCACTGAAGGAATGGAATCAAATGGGATCAGGAACGAACGAAAAGGGAAAGAAGGAAAGGAGGGAAAGAAAGAAACGATTGAAAAACGAACCTGGGCCACACAACACATGTTCCAAGGCTGGCAAAGGGTTGGCAAAGGTGCATCGCTACTAGCAGCAAGGACACAAGGCTGAAGTTTCCCTAAAAATCTAGGAACCAAATCATTAGTGCGAGCGTGAGCTATCCTGCGTCGATACTAGTAGCTACCTAGCTACTACTGGCTACCTCACCTCTCCCTACTAGCTACCTAGCTACCTGTAGCGGCCTACACCCCGCCATTCTCACCAGCAGTATTCCGACTTCTCCGTGCCAAGGAACGCTCGAGCGAGTCAAATAAGATGCTATTCTCCGGTGGCAGCGAATCTAAAGAGTAGCATGAGCCACTCCTAGGAGCGCACACAAGATAACACGAGGTCTTATGTCTTAGGTCTTAGGTCATCTTTCATATTTTTGTAGAAGACTATTTGCAGAGGGTATAGTAATTATAGGTACATGATTTTGGCAGCGCAATGGCCATGGTGGTATTTGCAGTCCCTTTGCGGATGTAGCTCAACCTACTCCAGGAATGTTCAAGAATAATCCTGTCCATTCATAGCATGGGATCAGTCCTTGGATGGATCTACAGTAATGTTTGGTTTCTTTGCCAAGAAGTACATTTACATGTTCCCAAGACGCTTCTGACATGCGGACAGTAGTTCGTGGAGAGAAGCATTCACGCAAAACCCTCCTGTTGCAAAAGTATCCAGTGTCCAAATTTCGATTCGGCTGCATGCTATCATGGAAATATCCTGACCGATGCCGCCTTGGATGGCCCGGAAAACCCCCCTCTGAGGCCGAAAACGGGCTGGTGAAGTAGAGCGCCGGATCCTCCGAATTCGCCTCGGAGGCCAGGGACGTGGAACGATATGAGTGATTATGAGTGTGGGAGACCTCCTGGCCTGGCTGGGCAGACGGGTCCATGTTCCTTCTTCCAGGGTCGGAACGCCTGGGAGGGCTCCCTGTTTTAATATACACATATGTTGAGAGTAAGGTCAGACAGGCACATGGAGCAATGATGAGCAAGGATGTGATTCTGGTAAGGCGGCAAGAACAAGCCACTTTTGTTCTTGAAGGTCGGCAATATTCAGACTCACGATGACTCAACGAAAGCTTTGGTCGGGATCCGCAAAAAGCAGCCACAAATTCTTGCAGCTTGACCCGCTTAAAAAAGCCTCGCGTCAACTTGGCAGGCCAGTTCAGGACGTGGTCGTTGTCCCCATGCTGGTAGTTCTCATTGACCTACCGGTGTCCTGTGGCACTAATTGCCTTGGTGTTGGGTGCCCTTCACCGTAGAGTTGGAATGATTCCTCGCTTGGTACACCCGTCTTCTTGGGGCCGGACATCCGTGTCAACATCCGAGATCGAGCGCTTGATTGCTGCAGCATTCTGGCAAGAATCCTTGCGAATGCACATGGAATGTCCTGGCTGCCGGCAGGCGAACCGGCAACTCTGAAACACTGAGGATGAAAATGGGTTCGATCTTAACGTAGCGATTTCGATGGACAAAAATATAGCTTTGTATAAGATCTCCGCAGCCCTTCTTTTCTACCCTGTGCCACTATGCAGTACGTCTTCTTGCAGGGTCGGAGCTTGGGTGGGTTTCGGGGTGAAGCAAAATGTCCGAGGTCCTCGCTGAGTTGAGGCAAAGTTGCTGCACGGTGCCCCCGGGTGAAATTTGAGTTGAGATGTGTAGTGAATTTTTGCTACGTGAGGCAAAGTGAGGCAACCAGGATCGCAACGGATACATTTTATCTCCAAAACATAACTTTGGAGCTATTCCTTACCACACAGGAGACCCTGCTGACTGTAGAAATACATGCATGTACATGTGTGTATAGTGTGCATAGTGTGCAAACGTTTACCTACATACATACATACATGCATGCATGCATGCATGCATGCATCCATGCATCCATGCATCCATGCATCCATGCATCCATACATCCATGCATCCATGCATCCATGCATCCATGCATCCATGCATCCATGCATCCATGCATCCATGCATTGCATTGCATTGCATTGCATTGCATTGCATTACATTACATTGCATACATACAGTACATACAGTACATACCTACCTCCCTACCTGCCTGCCTCTGCCTACCTGCCTACCTGGCTACCTACATACCTACATACCTACATACATACACAGACATACAAACATACGTACATACGTACAGTATGTGCACTGCTGTTCATTGCGTGCATTACGTGCTTTGCCTACATCATTGGACACATTACATACAAAACATACAGGACAATACAACACAACACAACACAATACAGACAATAACATAAAATCCGCCCACACAGCAGGTGCCGGGGGGCCTCATGGGGACGAAAGTGCATATTCTGTATCATGAGCTGTCTGGGAGAGGAGCATATGGTGTTCAAATATGTTCAAATATCATCAACGCCTGACTCTCTTTCTCATTGTCGCATCATTTGCACCACCACATCCATGAAAGGGCAACCAATCGATTCCTCTCAACAGTCTTTTGTCTAAAATGATCTTTCATGATTGCATCATATACATCAGCTGGTTGCAAATGCACACTTTTTGTACACAATGCGTGCAAATCAGTGATATAATCTGGACCCCTGAAAACAGTACAATTGCAAGTGGTGCGAAAAATATATCCAACAATGCTTGCAATCAATGAATGAATATACTGTGTATATATATATATAGAGAGAGAGAGAGAAAAACACGCCTAATGAATTTGTAAGGGGTCCAAAAATAGATTGTAGAAGCTTCTCTACATATTCTTCACCTACTTCTTGCTGCGTTTATCTCTAAGGTGTTTGTTGGCAGTGCACATTGTACAGTTCATTGTCCAAACTATATTCGTTTGCAAGCATTGTTGAATATAATTGGACCCCCTGACAAATGTACAACTTCAAGGGGGTTGAAAAATATATCCAACGAACGATGCTTGCAAGTTGCAAGTAAGACATAGCTAAACAGTGTCCAAAACTAGAGTGATTACAAATACTGTTTGTTAGTCATCCACTTCATCCTGCCTTGTCTCGATCATGCACACTGTATAGTTTACTGTACATAATTACTCTATTTTTGGACCCCCTTGAACATGTACACGTCCAAAGGGTCTAAAAATAGATCCAACAATGCTTGCAAAATGCAAGTAAGACATAACTAAGCAACCTGAATAACACATAACAAGACGTTAAGATAACAAGATATAAATATATAACATAAATATATAACATAAATATATAACATAAATATATAACATAACATAACATAACATAACATAACATACATTACATACATATTACATACATACACCATGCCATAAAACCATACCATACCAATCAATACCATACATAACACGACATGACTGTAATTTCTATATGTTTCTATTATATATGGTCCTTGCTCCTTTCTTGATCCGCTGTCGCAATCCGACACCCCCAATCCCGATGGATCTCGTCCTTCCAGCGGCGAAGCGTCCTGTGGGGAAGGTCTTCTGTTCAACCCCCGTGTCCGTCTTTGGGCCAAAGGGCACGGACAGGCTCTGCCAAAGGAAGCTCGCTCAGATGAGATCAAGGACCTTTCGTTTTGCTCACCTTCAGTTGTGAGGTTGTTGGAAAGGACTTCTGCCTTACAACTGAAGATGAGCAAGTGAACAACTCCAAAATAACATGTTGCAACAATTCACTGAGCCCAGACTGAACTGAAGCAGCTAGCATTTTAACTCCGGTTTCAGGCCGGACGCAAAACTTCGTGCCATCCCAGAAGGTCTGGCTTTCGCTCAAAACCCGCATCACAGAGAACAAATGCGGCTGAAAACTGTTTGAAGAGAAGCGCAAGATCGCACTCTGTGCGATATCCAGCGCAATCTTCCAAGATCGCAAGCCGCTGCTTTCATGGGGGACTCCCATGTTGTACAGATTTCCAAGAACACTCCTGTGAAGGGGGTAGATGCAAATCTGGGCAGCTCGCAGTGTGCTGTGACTTGTCAGCCAGTAGCTTTGTGGCTTTGACGAAAATCGAAAGCATTTGCTAGGCGTGGGCTTCCGAATCTGGCTCAGCCAGTCTGTTCTGAATCTTATTGTTGGAAGCACCTTCAGCTGTTGAAACAGTTGAGATCATCCGAGATCAGATTCAAAGTCCCAGCCATGGACAAGTATACTGCTACTTGGTGCGGTCTGAGCTCGCAACAACTAGCAGTGACCGTTGGGCGCCCCGCAACTGAATGGCGATAGCATCTGCGGCCTCCCAACAGCCCTTGGCCCCGTGCAGTCCAGTGGCAGGCATGCCAAACCAAAAAGAGCCGGAATCAAAAATTTGCCCTCAGCAAACACGCCGTCCGCAACATGATGATTCTAGTCATTTTTTACTGCAACTTGCACCGGTTCCATGCCATGAGTAAGAATCCTCCTTACATGTTGAGCACTGATTTCAGGCGCTTAACAACTTTCAGACTGACTCTATCGTTGCTTCCGGCTGTGGCTCGCATCAGACTCAAGCCTGGGACTCAGGAGGTTATAAGTCTCCATGTTATGGGTATCCCACAAAGTATGCTTCTTCTCATCTTTGAAGGAGCGGGTAGGCTGCGGAAATAGGGGCTAGACAAGTGCAGCAGTGGCAAGCACCCAAAATTTCGAGTTCTTTGCATGAACAAAATGGTCTGCATTGAGTTGCATTGAGAACTAGACAATATTTAGCCTTGGGGGCCTTGTCCTTTCTTCCAATCTGCTATCCTCTTCGGTCAACATGTTCAAGTGCCCATGTCATTGTATTCTGGAACATCCGTGAACATCAACATCCAGTGGCTTGGGGATCCCAGCGATTCAGGCAACTCCCTACCGACCAGCCATGCAAAATAGTTGAAAAAACACGGAAAAACTGCTCCCACCCTGTCGCCTCTCTTGCTCGCCTTCGCACTTCTGCGATCAGCTCCTGCAGTGCGGCGTGGTTCACTCTGCATATCTATCCAGACCGCAACCCTCCAAACTCCACAGACTCAGAATTTTCCCCATAGCAATCGAAACAAGGCATCAAGAAGCAAGCCAAGGTGATGAGTCCCACACTGGATGACTACTTGAAGGATCCCAGATTTGCTTTACGCATAAAGCATCCCGCAACCAAATCAGACTGTCCTCTGCTCTTTGCTGTGGCATTTCGGAATACTCTCTGAACTCCATGGAGAATTCTCCCTGTCCTGCAGGCACAGAAAGAAAGACCAACAGTACATGTATGATGCATGTTGCTCAAATGTATGGTGAATAGTGCAAAAGGTACAAACAAAATTGATACTGTATATAGAAAGCAAGAGGGTGATGCCAACTCTGCTGGTGAAAGCCAACTCAGCATGCTTGGCCAACGATGCAAACCCTCTCCTTGAGTCACAGAGCGCAAATCTGAGGAGTAACCAAACCTTAGAGGATGATGCTGCAGCGAGATCAGAGGTCTCACTCGTCCGCTTGTCAAGTGGGTTTGATGTACGGAAGGGTGCCACAAATCTACCCTCACAAATCTAAATAAACAAGAGAAGCCAGTGTTCATATTCCGGAACGGCCTGGTTCACAAGATCCGTGTCAAAAGTGGTCTACAGTACTACGGTCTATGCTAATACTATGCTCTAGGCCACTAGACGATGCTACCCCCAGAGCCACCGCTCTGAGCCCAACGCATCCGTCGCAGGGGTACCAGCGCCTAGCCATTGCAAGAGCTAGGATGGCGTGGATGTTCAGTGGGGAGATGAGCTCCAGCCCTTTGTGTGGGGGACGGGAACCTCTTTGTAAGTCGTTTCATCTAGTATCCTTTTTGCAACAGTCTTCCAGTTTCGGCTTCAGCCCTTTTCCCTGTTCTAGAGGGAAACCGAAGGACGACGAGTGCTTCAATTTTTCTCTTTGCATTCAGAGAAGCTCAGCGCCAGATCTTGCATCGTCGGCTCGGATGTGAGGTGTGCGCTTCTTTAGGTGACCTTCTGACAAGATCTGCAGCGACGCTCTTTGCGACGCACCGCAGAAAGTCCTGCGCCTCCACCAGGGAGGTATCGGAGGAGACGGCCTTGGTGCTCTGAATAGAGCCCTCGCGAGTGTTCAGCCTGGGCACCGGTCCCGCATGAACACTTGCATTCAGAACACCTGGTGGTCACCTGGTGGTCCAAGAACCACGCTCATGTACACTCGCATTTGGTGGTTTCTTTGCCTTAATCAACTTAGATCGACATGCTACCCAATGCATGCCTAAACAACACTACCTAATAACCTCGTCTTCTAAACCGTCTTTGGCTTGGACGGTTGGCTTTAACAAAAAACCTGCGGTGTTGCGTTGCCGTCAGCCTCAGCCTTGCTGCACCTGTGGACATAAGGCTCCATATCCACACCTTGAGCTTCAAGTGTTTGGGATCCTGTAGCTTGGCCTCATTCCTCCAGGGATGAGGATGATGAGGTTTGCTTCCGGACAAGAACTTTGGTATCATTGTTCGATGTTTGTGCTTAATAGTTTGTCGATGTGTGTTTTGTCTATGATTTTGGGTCAGTGTTGTAGAGCGGATCAACCCATATTGTCGGGATAAACTTGGCTCTAAAACACAGAGTGCTGGTGGTGCTGCTGAGAATATCAAGGTGTTGCTGTTCCACAATGTTCCACAAGCTTCCTGTGTCAAGTAATTCGAAAGTGTTTGTTCTGTCGTTGTCGCTCTTGAAATATGATGAAATATGGAGCAATTAGACAAATCTGTAATAGGCACCTGGACAGAGATGCAGCTTGATATTGAGATAGACAGACTCTCTTGATTGAGTGGCAAAGCCAAACAGTATGGGAAATCATGGGAAATCACTGGTAATGCACAACCAGTCAACCCATCCTTGGTCTCCCCGTTTACAAGACACGCATGTCACAGGCAAGTTGAATCGTGACTAAATATCACTGGCGTGTGCCTTGTGGTTGATTCCTCTCTGGGACTCGTTGCGATTGCAGCGCTTGTGCTTGGAACTCCGAGGGGAACGTCACCTCGACCTGCGATCGGCAGGAGATTTCAGACAGGATCGGCCAAAGCGATCGGCAGCTAGGAGCCAGGTGAGCCACCATCTACCCTTGCAGCAACCCTTCTTGTGACTAGTAAGGAGCTTTCACATCCGCGACCGGACATGTGTCCAACTTGGATGCCCCGGCTGCCATCATTGGCTCCAGCACCACCGGGTTGGCATCGTCTGGGCGGCAGGCTGGACTTTTTGGTTTAGCAAAACCCTCCAGGCAGGAACTGGACGGGGGAAATTGAACCCGAGACACCTACAAGACCGTAAGGGCGGCGTACAGCAACAGCTGTTGTTTAGGGTCAGAAAGATCATACAAATTGAACTGATCAGGAATCTCCAGCGCACACACACACACAAAGTCATGTATGCAGATGTTTTACAATATGCAGCAAACGGGCACTCATCTGTAACAATCCGGGAATGTTGAAATCTACCTTGCCTAGCTGCCTAGCTTAAGAAACAGACCAAAGCCTTCCAATCTCTTTAGCTTTGCTCCCTGACGGTAGAAATTGTCAAATGCACCCTGGGCAGCAGCTTGGAAAGCTTCAGCGGATGAGTCCACCTGGCACGTGAACAACACTTGAGACCTGGTCCGTCTCAGCTCCGTCTCAGCAGAAGAAACTTAGTCGTCTGACCTGTTGCGTTGCGTTCCATGACCTTTGATTGAAAAAAAGCAAAGGTTTGAGCTTCCATTCAGCAGTACTTGACCAAGTTGGTGCTGCACGTGCTGCCCTCGCACATTTTTCTGGGCAAAAAACGGCTGTTGGTACACTTCTATGATTTGTGCGTGTCATCTCAACACTTGCACTCCTCCCTGGCTCATCTTTTTGATGAAGCCAGTCAAAACGCACCTCCAGCTCAAGCCGTTCTTCGGCAGACTTTACACTCCCGATTCTAACATCGGCCCAGTCACCGCGTCACACCTGGCATCGGTGTGATGATTCCCGAGCTGGTCTTTGTAAATGAAGTCCGCTTCATCGAGGCTTCTCTGACCTTGGGTCGACCTCTGGCATGCACCGCACACTGGATGCCCTCGGACTCGATTGGCGTTTCTCAGCCCTCTGCATTCTCGCCTTCGATGGAAGCATTGGTTGGACTCCGCAAACCAGACCTGCCATGGAGGTTCGACGGCAAATCTTCTTCTTCCCGTCAGGGTGATCTGCAGCCGCTGTCCCCCTGGTAGATCAGCTTGGTTTGGGGGCTCTTATTGTGGTTCAGCTTGGCCAGGATGGTCCCTCTCTCGACTTTCATGTCCCATGCCATCATCACCACTGGTACTCGCCGACAACAACGAGGAAGGGTTCTGTTCCATGCCACTCGCTCGGCGTCGAGCCTCTTCTCTGGGGTTTGACCCTCGGCTTCTCTCTTCTCGCATTCTTGTAGAAGACCTTGTGCCGGACGAAGTTCGTTCTGTTGGGTTGGTGACCTCATTCGGCGCACCATCGGTTCTTCCCCCACTTCTCCCCAGCGTATACAGCATCGCTGAAGGATCTTCATGAGCACCATTCCCAGCAACATCATCATGACGCTGAGGAGGTACAGCACCTGGTCACCCTCCGCATTCTCATCGACCTGCTTGGTGACGTTCTCGGCCATTGCTCCATGGACCTCCTTTAAAGCAGATAGCACCATGGCTTTCTCCAAATGGTATTTGGCCACCAACTTCATGGCGCGAGGAGCGACTATGCCCTTGTCTTCTTCATGGACTTCGTCAACTGAGTCGGGCTGCCATGACATCCCCATCCTCTGTCTCAAATCATTGACTCGGACCACAGGCAAAGCCTTGGTGCCGATGTCAGCAATCAGTTCTCGTCCTGGTTGGTACTTCAGTTCCCATTGACCTGACTGAAGCCTCCATTTCAGGTGAGCAGCCCGAACTTTCAGGCGCCTCGTGCGCCAAGCTCCGGTAGCGCAGCTTGCTATCGAGACTGTGGCGGCGTTGTCACACATGAGGAACTTTGGAACATCTCTCACCATCTCATCAACCAGGCATGCGATGCTGTCACCGACGACCACTGCCTCAATGACTTCGATCAACTCAGCTTCTGCTGTCGACAGTGCAGGAAACGGCTGTTTGCAACTCTTCCATGCCACTGGCGCTCCACCCAAGGTCGTGATCACACATCCATGGCTGTGGGCTCCTCCTGGAGCAAACGAGGCGTCGCTGACCGACTCCAAGATGAAGTTGGCATCCCTTCTATACCACAAGCCAAGTCCCTGGGTGGCGTTCAAGTGCCTGATGAGCTGGTAGGCTGTTTGAATCGCCCACTTCGGTGCGCGGCTCGTAGCTGAGCAAATCCTGCTGACCACATAGGCGATGTCCGGCCTGGTCTTTGTGGCCAACCATAGGAGATCTCCTCCGAGCTGTTGTGCCTCCCGTACTTGTAGAGTGCAGAGGTGTTCGGTCCAGCTCATCCTCAGGCTCCTGAGATTCTTTCATCATTTGGGCACTGCAGAGGTCCTCCACGCCATGTCTCCGAACCACTTCCCTCAAGTAGGAACATTGATTGGCAAAGAAGTCTCCCTCTTCTGTTCGACTCAATTCCATGCCACAGTACCGAACAGGTTCTGCATCTCCCACCCACGTAGGTTCTGAAGTCTCCCACGTTTTTCCAAAGCTCTGTCTCGATCACCATCTTCGGAGTCTTTTCTGCGCACCAGCCACAGGTTCTCCTCTGCAAAGCTCTGGAGAGCTCGTTCAACCAGCCACATTTCCCCTCCTTGACCAGTCCCAAGCGACCAAGCGAATGAGGATCTTGGGCGGAAGCATGAGCGCCAACCGTTTTCTCTTGGTTGGATTAGGCTTTACCGCCATTCCTCCATAGGCACCCTGGTTGAAGGTCACCAAGTCCAAGTTGAGGTACTCCTTCATGACCCTCCATTCTTCCGTCCTCCAGAAGGATGCCACTTCCAGCATGACTTCCGGCATGTGCTGAGGCGCTGCTGGTTGTTCCATGAGGAATCTGAGCAAGCCGCACATCACGACCCAGTTTGGCCACAATGTACAACGTCACCATGCGGAATCGTCCAAATGACATTTGGCTCTTTCCACTTCATCCAGCTCATCCAAACCCCATGGCCTTCCCAAAAATCTTGACGGCCCTGGTAGGCCAGTGACAGGATGATGCCGAAGTTCACTGCGAGCACGGCAATTGGGGCCTCCAGTCACTGCATCAACCCAGCCCAGCATTGCAATGCGAAGCAATGCCGCGTACAACGCGTCATCCTTGGACATGTCATGGCATTGATCCCGTTGGATGTCCACCTCCAGCAGCCTCGTCGTGTCCCCACCTGCTTCTTTAGTGCCCGAGTGAGGTCATAGCTTTCGTGCGTGCGGCATACAAGTGGATGACTACTCCTTCATTCTTCCAGCGCTTGCGAATACGCCGATTGACTACCAGGCTGTCGAGGTCTCTTGCCGGGGTGTCCGCTAGCCGATCCTTGATGCGAATGGGGATTTTGTCGAAGATCGGACATTCTGCCACCACCCTGTCCATCCAGTCAGCATCTGTGTGGGACTCTCCAAAGCGATAGCACCTCAAAGCTGTTCTTGACCTGGATTCCTCAAGTTCTCTGATGAGGTCCAAGGCGATGTCGTAACCCATCTGAGGGCGCCCAGCTTCAACTCTGAGCTCAATGTTGCCCTTGACAGGATGCTCCAACGTGCAGTTCTCTCCAACCCATTCGATCCGACATCCCAGATCACGCACCAGTCGTCCTGCAGGAACTATCGGCTCCACATTCTCGCTGTTGTGAACCAACGTCTCTCCTTCGGTCATCCGGATGTCCTGCGCCCCTCCAGCTGCCAAGGTCACCCTCACCTGACGATAGCGTTGGAGATCTTCTCCTCGAAGCTTTGGTGTCAGGGCATGCGTTGCTCCGGTATCCAGCAAGCCTTCTTGACCTTGTTGGACTCGAGCGATTTTGACTGCTCGGATCCCTGGCCCACCTTCCTCCCATGCTTGATTCAGCTTCTTCAGAGTTGCGCCAAGGTTTGCTGCACGATCTTGTCCTTCCTCTTCGAGGTTCATGCCCTTGAGCAATTTGTGCGCTTCATCAAGCACATTCTTGAGCGGGTCAGCGGCCTTTGCAGTTGTGTCCGAGGCTGCTCTGATGCTGCCGACTGCGAGGATGCTGCTTGCGGAGACATGGAAGCACCCGATTCGCTCTGAGAGGTTCCATTGCCGTCTTGTCCAGGAGCTTTTGGATTCTGGGTTTCTGACCAGCTGGAGGCCGTCTCCTTCCTCGGGCATTCTCTGGCCAGATGCTGTGTGGCTCCGCAGGTAAAGCATCGCCTCTCCTGGTTCTGCTTGTCCCCGGTCTCCAACTGATGCGCCCATTTGCACGACTGGCCTCTTCACCATCCAGACTCCGCGAGGAAGTACCGACAAGGACCCTTGGCTGCGGCTGCCGAATCCCCCTTCTTCTCTTTCTCCTCACCTTGAAGAGCCTTCACCGCAGGTTGTCCTCCTCCAGGATTCCCAGGTTGCGCTGCACTCGATGACGGTCGAACTCGATGCATGAGCTGTTCCAATTCAGCAAGTAAATGCTCAGCATACGTTCGAACTGTCTCCTCAGTGGGAATGGTATCAAGCTGCAACGTGTTCTTCACCAAGGAACACCTGAATTGCAAATCAGGTTGTTGAACGAGGACCCGCTTGCTAAGTTTGTTGATGCCCTTCATGAGGATGATTGCATCGGGAAGATTCAGGCCAATGTCGGTGGCCCTCCTGAGCCAGCGCATCCAACGCCGGAGCCCCGCGCAGGCTTCGCTTGGCGACCCTGCTTCAGGTGGATCTTCGAGTTGTCGAAGGATGATGGTGCGTTCATGAGCGCCGCCTGGTTGATATAGAACCATAAGCTTGCTCGCCAATCCCAAAGGCGACAACGCCCGCGTCGCCACAAGTTCCTCTTTCACGGTTGCGGGAACTGAGGAAAGTAGCGTGCTGATTGCTCTCTTTTCGACTCGAGCCCATGCAACTCCGCGGACGGCTCAATCTTGGACGCAGCTCTTTGTATAGGTCGAAGCTTGATGTATTGCTTGTACCAAGATCTTGCCTCGCTCACCACCAACTCCCACCACTCGCCCGACGAGTCACTAAGGTCTGTCATCGCCGGTTCAATCATGGTGAGCCAGTCGGCCAGAACGATTGGAGCCGTGTCGGATGGCTCTGCCAGGACTGGAAGGGCGACCGTTCCCGGCTTGACCGACTCAGGTCCCTCTTCCTTCTTCTCCTTGTCGAACAAGTAGGTGATCAACTTGGACATGGCATCCACCATACCACCTCCACCTTCACCAGATGGGTCTTCCTTTGCATTGGCGGTAGAAGAACGACCAGGGTGATCCGCAGCAGACTTCTTCTTTGCTTGACCCACCCCTTTTCCAGTTCCTTGTCGCCCCTCCGCCTCGAATCCCTTGGCCCGAGTTGCCACCAATCCTTCTTGTTGACCTCCTCCTGGACGAGTGGTTCTTGGCAGTTCTTGGACCTTGCTGGGATCTTGACCTCTCCCGTTGCCCTTTGCCCTCGGCCACCTCGCTTTGCAGGTGTCGGAGTGATGGTTCCCATCAAGGATTGGAGCTGCTCAAACTGTTGCATCGGAGTCAACTCATACAGGCGACGTCGTTCAACCTCCAGGTCCGTCTCCTTCGGCTGCTCGTCGACTGTCATCTCCAGCTGTCGCTTCACAAACTCATTGCTCTCGGGCGTTCGGAAAGTCTGTTGCTCCAGCTCCCTCTGAAGGTCGTGGACCTTTGCCTCCAGGCCAGCTCTCTGGTACTTCATGGCGTCCATGAGCTCCGCCTGCTGCACTTGCAACTGTTGGTTCTCTTGTCTCAACATAGCCAACATGGTCATCATCTCTTGAGGGCTCGGTGGACCTGGACCGTATGGATGAAGTTGAACTTGCCATCCTCCTTGGTGCGGCATTGGTCCCCTCCTCTCTTCATGGAGCATGATGTACCCAGGTGGCCCATTCTGTCCAAAGCCCCTTGGGACATGTAGACCTCTTCCTCCCGGTCCATTCCCTTGAACTTGGACAACAGATCGTTCTCGTAGTTGCTCTTGTCCCTCACCCTCACTGCCGCTTCCGGGTTCTTGTACTTCAGGTACCCGTGGTTCTCTTGGTCGCCCACGCCTCCGGTGACTTGGTACCCATCCCAGGCTGCCAAATGCTTTGCCTCGGAGCTTGGGCATAAAGGTGCGGTGCTTGACTTTGAACTTCATGAAGTCCCCTCAGCTGCTCAGGCGTGAAGAGAGAAGTCAACGGCGTCAATGTAGTCGGCGGGCCCTTAGGGCCTTCCATAACCTCCCCCCCTCTTCACCATCTTCTAAGGCCAGCTGGCCCTCCTCCAGCTGCCCATCTTGTACATGATGGTCTCCCTGATCGTCATGGCCATCTTCTTCATCGCCATCGCCGGGAGCCCTTCGCCTGCGTCGCACCACCATCGACATGGCGGCAAGTGGCTGGGGCGGCCTTCTTTCGAAGGTCTTACACCTGCGACCTTGGGCCATAACCTGCACGTGCTGCCCTCGCACATTTGTCTGGGCAAAAAACGGCTGTTGGTACACTTCTATGATTTGTGCGTGTCATCTCAACACTTGCAGGTGCATCGGATACACTTGAGTGAAGCAAATGGTGTGACCTCCATCGAGACAGCAGCGGAAGAACGTAGATTCGCGGTCCAGGCTAGAATCAACAGGCATTGGTCAAATATCGTTGTGTATTGTATGTTGCACTGGGTGCCGGTGCAGTGGTTGCGTGAACTCGATTTGCATGGACTTGCAAGTTACTGTCGCTCATCAAGTTTTCAGACAAGCGCTTAGTGAGTGTCAGCAGATTTGCTTGTAGAACAACTTCTTGTTCAAGATCGCCTTTGACACTGCAAGTTAGCCCACCTCATGAGATGCACCATCCTCCAAGACCTTAACATGATCCAAGGGGCTTGTGCTCAACTGCTGCAGCTCTGTCTCTTTCATGTTTCTTCATCCTACTTGATTGAACTTCTAAGACTTGGAGAAGCCCTGGGCGCTACCCCTAAGTTGTTCAGTCGCCGACACAGCGCATGTTGATCAGTGGACTTCCCGTCAAAAGCCCCTTCCTTAGTGTCAAGTGCTAGCAGCATGCCCCAGACATTCTTGGGGCTCAGAAATCCAACGCCGTTTATATATCATAGATTGAATTCTCTCAATCTTAACATACTTACCTCAACTCTCAAAGCTTCCTTGAAACCTCCAGACCTCTCGATCCAAGCACTTCGAGAAGGACCTCGTGACACTTCCGCGACACTTCAGAGCCCACAAGGCTTCCACGACGTGGCATTCCGAAAGCCCTTCTCAATGGCCGGAACCTTAGGCCGCAGAATCCTGGAAGGAAAACCTCAAAGCAACCTCGTACAGCCTCGTACCATCCTTGTGCACATGGGCCATTGTGATAGCCTGAAGATTCCACAATACTAATACTGTACATAAGTTTTTCCGTAGAACAAATTATATAAATTGGATGTTTAGATTAGAATCTCATATCAACAATGATAAGGTCTCGCTGCAGATAAATACGTCTCTAAGCCTTGTGAGTCAAGTCATGCATTTGGGAAGGAAATCCGACTACATGGCCTTTCAATTGAAAGAAAGGGACTGGATTTCCCTAGCTAGGACAGCTTCCATGTTCATCAAGCAAGTCACCCCAGCATATTCCGGTTGATTTCAGACGCATGTGCACGGTGGCGGTTTCTTGCGCATGACCGGGCTTCTTGCGTATGAAGGAGGGATGTCGTGACCAATCAACTTGTTGACAAATTCAATGCCCTCCTAGCGGTGCATCGATGCCTCTCTGGCGACTCACAATGCTTCATCGACGCATTCCATGCACCAAAATGCACGAAAGCTATCTAAGGAATTATCTAAGGAATTCATTGGTGTCTTCCACGCAGAATCCTTACTCCTTGCCTTACAAGGAGCGGCATCATGTGGCCTCTAGCAAACTCGTTCCGCCCAATTCCAAGCAAATCTCACGCAACTCTCCTTGTCATCTAAGTGTTCCTCTTCCGGGATTGGCTCAAAATAGCCCATGACCTTCCACCAAGAGCTGGTGTGGAAGCATCTGTAAGCATGGTGACAGGAAAGAAAATCTCGCAGCCGTCACCCTGTAGTCTGTTGTTTGTTTGGCTCCAGCCCTTCGGACGAGGCATATCTGTGTGTGTGAGACAGATCGAAACTACGAATCACCATAGTAAAATTAAGAGTTGTGCCAGAAGCGGAAGAAGTCAGCCGAGTAAACACCCCAAAATTGCTCAAGCCTGCACCCTCAACTGCAACCAGCACAAGACCATGTGCCCAACTTCAAGCAGCTACCGTTCCCTTTGATGCAGTCGCAATGTAGACTCGGCAATAAAAAAATGGATAACACTGCTGACCAAACTGTAGGTAACAAAATGGGCTCAATCCCAATTCGCCATGAGAATGTGTCAATTGAGTCAGTTCTCAGGGGCAATTCTGAGAGCTATTATGAAAAGTGGAAAAGTGCAGCTCAGAGGACTGTTGATGTCATACGAACTGTCAGCCAGGATTTCTCCTTGCTGCAAACAAACACTCAAAATACTGCGTATATACAACATAATATAACAATATAGTATAATGTGATATAGCATAATACAATATCGTATGATATGATATGATATTATATATTGTTTTAGTACAGTATAATAACAATATTTTTATGTATATATCAAAAGATCCGAGCCTGTAAAGGCAACTACTATTTCCATTCAAACCAAGTTCCCCTTCGACTGTGCCACACAATCACCATTTCCCTGCACCCTTTGGGTGGGTCTTCCCAATTTCTCAGAATAAGAATCCCGATGCCCACACTGCCCGCACTGCCCGCACCTTGCCATACTGCCCACGTCCACCAGACTGACGCTTGTGCGTGTACTCATATGCAATTTTGTTGGTGATCGTCCTGGCGTCATGGGCATAAAGTCTTAAAGGCTGAAATGCTGTTAGTTTTTTTTTTTTGCCCGCTCCCCCCCTCCCTAATTGATTGAGTAGGCGCCTACTGAATTAAGTAAGGGAGAAGCAAGCTAGTAGGCTGAGTTAGCTTCTAGACATGAACGCAAAATACCTCCACTTCTTCAAGGAAGCTCCCCCTCCACCCTAAAGGTGGCGAGGGGGAGCTTGCTTGAAGAAGCCCTCGCACTAGTGATTTGGTTCTTAGATTTGTAGGGAGACTTAAGTTGGATCCTGCAGAAAAAGACATGTGTTGATCCCGCTTCACACACATGCATGGCCACACTTGGCACCCAAACTCTCTGTAGTTCACCTTCGGCTCACCAGTCTTTAGAGATTCTACCTGCACAGAAAGCATGTGCAAGCAAGTCCTTTCTTGCAGCTAGGAGATGTGACATCACGCTCCTCTTTCAAAAAGTGATTGCAACAAGTTGTAAAAATGTGTTGGACCTTCGTTCTTGTGCTACCAGCATTCTCTCCAGCACAATCACAGCTGGGGCTGGAACAGCAAACAGCCCAGCTAGATGGAATTGTTCTTCCGGATTTTTGTAAAATGCATTATAAGATGTTATAAGACCTTGCGCAAGGACGCTACGTTCGGGGCTCCTGCCTTACTACTAGGAGATCTCCTCGGACGCTACGTTCGGGGCTCCTATAAGACCAACGCAACGGAACACCTTCACCTCTCCACCCGAGCATTTGTTGTTTTCGAGGTGAGACGGTCGTCTGCGGTTCTCGGAATCTGCGGTTCTCGGTGAGAAGGCCGACACCCGACACCCTTCTTCGGGCGCGAGAAAACGCACTTGAATTTGGAGGAGATGAGGGTTCTCCAAGAGTGGCGGTTGGTATTTCTCAACCTGGTAGGCATTTGAGTTGTCTGAGACCGCAACACTGTGTGCCTGTACATCTTTGCAACGTCTCAGGTGCGCGACTGGAAAGGCATGCTTCGACAGCCAAGGCGTCAGCCATGCCTACGTCGTCAGGAATACAAACGCCCAACAAGAAATGAGCCATCATGATGGCTGGCTTCCCACAGCCTTGGTCGAGCCAAGGGCACCCAAACCAAACAGCATTTTGCTGGGTCGACGAAGCCACCGATACGATACGTTCGATTTCGACCAAGGCTCGGATTGAAAGGCCTTCCGAATGAATTCCTGGAATCGCTTCGCGTATTGCACCTCACATGTTCGAAGCTGCCGTCGTCCCAACGATTAAAGGTGCCGTCGTCCCAGGTCCCGCCTGGTCCCACCTCCCCTGCGCCCGATGCCCTGTGTGCAACTCCTGTGCACTAGCCCACCGCCATCCTTTCAAAAGCCACCAAAGTCATCCAAATTCAACTTGAAATGCATCAAATCATTGACATAGAAGACACATGAAAACACCAGTCAGGTAGAGAAAACTGAGAGAACCATAAAAGGATGGAAAGGACTTTGGAAAGGATGGCGGGTCGGCCGGTCATAATTGGTCTTGGAGGCCCCCAACAGGTAGAGCCCTCACCTTCAGTGTCTCAGATCTAATCCGAGTCACGGGCTCCACGATGGTCGGCTCATGACGCTGAACTAACTTCTTCACGGTGGACTCCAGCCTGCAGCGATGTGCAGCATGGGAGAACAGTCGGTGATAGAGAGGGAGCGAGAGGAGAAAATCGGCTGGGTGAGGCAAACAAAAAACAATGAGGGACCTGCTTACAGTAGATGAAAATTATGAAGGAATCTTAATCTTTTGGATCCCCCTCGGTCTTGGGGGGAGACCGGAACAGTTTTGTTGCAGAAAGAGCTCTGCAAATCCATTGCACGTTCTGCACGTTGGGCTCTTAAACTAAGCCGTAGGAGGTGTCCATCAACCTCACGTCCACCATGATGGGGGCAAGGTTGTGCGGATCCAGTGGATCCAGGAGTCGCATGGTAAATCCATCAGCTACCCATACTGCCTGTGAAGGTAGGGTACAGTACTGTGACTTGAGGCAGGGTCAACGTCAAACATCATGTACTGGCCAAGTTCTTTGAAATGGTCCGAGTGTCTAAAAGACCCACTTGCAGAGTTCATCTATAGGCTTCTGCATGAATTCTTGCAAATCATCTCATTCTGTCTACAAAGTCCCTCAAATAGAGCTGAGCAAAGCCCAAACTAAAAAGAATAGAAAAAGGTTTGTCCCGCCAGCCCGGAAGGCTCTATCTTCATCTCTTCTTTCTGCCCAAGCGGCTGTTTGTTCAGAGTGTAAGGCTGCAGAAAATCGATGATTGCAAGTCTCACCCTTTTCGACTCCAGGTGAAAAGCCATCAACAAGGAGTAGTCCACCAGCCCCAGCTCACGAAGGACGTGCAAGTCACATTTCCTTTCCGCACCGAGGGCCCTAAAGGTCCCTAAAGGTCCCGAATTCCCCAAGTTTGAAGGATACCACAAACCTGCATTGCTCATTGCCTCCATGAAAACTACAACTTGATTCATAACTTCATACTTCGTATGCGTGTACAAAGTACATGAGTAGCAGGAAAAATGGTTGCGTGGTGTGAATATATTATCGTGCGCCACGTCCAGAACGATAGCGTAATCCTTTTTGGCATGTTCAAAGCGTGCATGTTGAGACCCCACGACCACTCACTAACTACTGATCATTCAAGTTCACTAATTTGGGCTCTAGGTCATACAACTTCAAGAAGTCATCCCGCCAAGCTTCAGCGCCAGCTCTAGGGCCTCCTGATCTGCTGGCTTCAGCACCTTGGGCAGTGCCCCAAACATTTCCACGAAGCCGCCATCCCACTTCACGGCCGCTTCCTCGTTCGCCCCGTTCGGCGCATGCCGGTGGGCGGCACCTTTCACATCGAAGATCTGCCAGTCCTCGTTGATGTCCTGTAGCAGGTTCCGCATGATGAGGATGGTGCGTGTCCTTGGTGGAAAGAAGCGCCCAAGAGCACCTCCAAAGAGTGGTGCTACTGAAGTTCTTGGCGAGGTCAAGAAAGATTCAGCAAAAAATCTGTCAGAAAATGAATGAAATGGATGGGGGAAAGGTGGCAATGTGATTTCTTTGGGGAGCTCGGTTCGCATCAAAGAGTCTGCTGTCGCTTCCCCAGTTTCGAGACCTTGAAGAGGCCAAAGACTTCGCAAAGCAACGAGGGCTCGCCCCTCAGTGCTTCTGCGAGTCTGACTGCAAAGGGACCTGCCATGCTTGCAAGATGACTCGCTTCTGCTGCGCGGACTTCCTTGAGAAGGAGTTGCCCGCAAGCTGACTTCCAGAAAGCGCTCTTGCTCTTCCCTCCAGAGGTCTGGTGTGAACCGCAGCGCCGCAAAATCTCGCAGAAGTTCGCATCGTTGCCAAAGCCAAGGTGTCGCAGCAAGTGAAAGCGAAGTGGAGCCAGCACTTCAACGTTCCAAGAAGTGCCGTCTGGAGCCTGACAGGGAGAAAGGTGTGGCCAGGACGATCAAACATGATCAAACCACGAGCGCCAAAGTAAAATTGGTGACACGTGCCTAACATTTTCTACCCAACCCAGTCCTTGACCATGCTTGGGATGGAAGAGTCCTCCCCTTCAATCGAACAGAAATCACAGTGCTCCACGTTGCTCGACACGCAGCAAAGTTCTCCTGTTTCTTTCAAGCAATGACCTTGCAAGCGGCTGCGCAACAGTTCCCAATGCTGGGTAGACAACAGCGCATGCGCAATGATAGCTCCAACGTCGTCTGCGGTCTCCATGATCGATGGTAGGGGAATAGCCATGCCCTTGATTCCGCAAGAGACTCGGAAATCATAGGGCTCCTGATAGCCAGCATGTTCAAAAACTCGCCGTGGCTCTGTACAAAGGTTGGCCCAAGTGTCGCTTAACAAGGAAGATGAAGAGCCTCGAAATGTGATCGGTTGGGGCTGATCCTCGCCATCAGCGCCCACCAAGGATGAATAAAAGCGCTTCAGGATCATTCTGGGATCCATGCTTGCCAGTTTCGGAACGCCAACATAAAGCAAGGAATCCAAGGAAGAGTCATCCAAAGACTTGCCCTTGTCTCCTCAGGAGCTGGCCGTGCAGGCAGCCATAGCAGGAGGTCTCTTCAATTCAAATTTGAACCTATTACAGGCAGCAACTGCCACACACTCTTAGCTGTTTGGTGTTGTATGGTTTTGTTCTTCAATGCAAGTTAGGGGTACAACTTATGGCGTTTGATTGTCAATGGCACCACTTAGAATCGACTTAGAACCAGCAGGAAAGAACTGTCCAAGTTCGTGGCCCCTCCATCAAATTCCACTTAAGAAAAAAAAACGGTGAAATAAATAGAATGAAAGAACAAAACCTGTTCATACATTTTTAGACATCCTCAGACCTGACGTGGGTCACCCTTTGCAGCTTTGGCTCTGCAGTTCTGCTCTTCCTGGAGCCCAAACTTCGGGGGAGCCGACAAAGAGCGCTGCCGCCGCTTCTCCGTCTTGGCAAAGCCGATGTCGGTGCAGCGCCGAGTCAACCTCAGCTGAACGTTCGAAACCTGGCCCTTGGATGTTGCTCTTTTCATTGCCCTTTTCATTGCTCAATTGTTCATAATTATGCTTGTTTGATGTTTCTTGGTGGACTTCCAGTCGCCATCATCCCCATTACGGCGGCGGTGGTGGCAAGCAAGTGTGTTCCTCTTCAGCGGTAGTCAAAGCATCGGAGCAGATTGGAGCAGCAGGTCCTTGATTGAGCAGGTCCTTGAGCTTGGATAGAATAAGCAAGGAGGCAAAGCATATGCAGGGCCCAGTGGGAGCTTGTTGCGGAGCATATGCAAGTTTCGGGCAGCATGAGGAGGTATTGAAAAAAAACAGGTCGACATGTCACAATTCTCACTTCTGTTGGAGAGTTTGCTTTAGCATGGCTCCAGGGACAGGGCATCCAGCAAGGCGTTCCAGGGACAGAGTGGGTCTGATTGGGAATCGTGATGATACTGCAGTGCTTGGATTTGGATAGATTTGGTGCGCAGACAACAATTGCAAGTCCTCAACTATGAATTCAAACAAGGCTTCGGAACACACACAGGGCCTAGAATCTATCAGAGGAAAGGCCTGGGCCAAGCAGACTTCTATATCAAGAAACTTGCTTTTGGCGATGATCTTCGCGGGGATGCCTCGGCTTGTGCATGCCTGAGAGATGTCTATGTCCTCCTCTGTATCAGAGGCCTCGGCTTGTTCAAGATCACCTGGTACTTCAAGATCACCTGCGAGCAGCTGGTTGCACTCTGCCAAAGAGCTGTGTAAATGGCATGTCATCCCCAGGTTTACCAATGGAGGTCCTTCGTCCCAGCATTGCAGCTTGCCGGCACAGCGCCGCAAGATCGATGAAGCTTCCAGCAAGCTACGGCTTCGCAGAGCACATTTCAAAGCCCGTTCGTCCGAGTGATTCCAAAACCAGGCATTGCGCTTCGGCACCTGACCATCGGATCCCACCTGCCGAAAGTCACGCAGTACATTGCTGAGCTGTGACTCCAGGAGCTGTTCCGCGCGGTGGAGCACTGCAATGAGCTCTTCCTTGATTCCCGGCCCTGGCACCGCCTCGCAAATGTCCTGTTTTGGGATGAGGGGCCTCAAAGGAGGCCCTCTCATTTCCAGCGCCAAAGGCTCCACCACATTCACGGCGAAGGTCGCATTTGCCAGCTCCCACGACCCGCTGGCGAAGCTATGGCCACAGGGCAACTCATGAGGGCAAAACCACAGGAGCGAAAAGAAAGCGGCCACGGGCATTTGGAGCAAACGATCCTGCAGGTCCAGACATCACCAGACACAAACAAATGCGATCATGAATACTTGCCAAGAAAAAATAAAGCGAACCAATCCAAAACCAAACAGACGCGAACCAAGCATTTCAATGCGTGCCTGTGGCATAGTCCACTTGGATTTGCAATCTTGGCATCTCAGCCATGAACTTCTGCCTGAATCTTCCTGAAAAGTCAGCAATATCCGGCGCTCACCACAAAGGTAGGCACCCCGGTGGAGCAGCAAAGACTGCTGGCACTGGGGGCATTGATGCCGTGCTTCCTCCAACAGCTCTTCCAGCTTCCTTGAGCAGCCAAAAGGACTTGCGGCCAGCAAAAGTAGCCAGCAGCGGGGGCGGTCACCGTCCTCTTCCTTCCCTTGCAAAAGGAAGGAGCACTGGTTGCCCTGAAAGTAGCAGGGAAGGCCATGTGCATTCTTCACAAACACTCATCCAGAATGAAAAACACTGTCTCGTACATGCTGTTGCAATCTTTTTGGTGGTAGGATTCAAAAGCAGCATGCGATAAGCATCACATCATATCACATCCGCTTTCACTACAGGCTCGAACGGAGAGCAATTCGCTGGCGTCCACTTCATCCGTTTTTGCTACAAAATGTAAGCGTGATAGAAGAATCCTACACACCTTCACACGCGTCTGACCCCGTCCTGGGCTCCCTCAGCCAAGGGATAAGGTGCCAGCTCAGGGCACGACTCCGCCTCCAGTTCCTCCGCTTCGCCTCCTTCAGGAGGCTCGAGCTCGGAGCGTGCACTCAGCGAGCGCAGCCAGCCGAAGAAGCCCTGGGCCAGTCGCAGAACACGTCACCGTGTGATTTGCCCTGCTTCAGACTTCACTGGCAAGTTATATGGGGACCAGCAAGAATGGCTTCAAAATTGAGGCAATTGTTAGGTAGGTACAAGAAACTCTTGAGGATGTGCTCCGTGCCAAGCAACTTCTGATGATCTCCCTTCGCATTGGCCCAGAACCTCAGAAAGCCACTGCTCAGTGGGGCTGCAGTCCACATCGTCATCCATTTGCTGCCAGCATCATCGCTTCAGGCTAGCTTGCCATGCTTCAGCAAGCGGATAGCTGTTTTGGGCGACTTGAAGCTGTAGATTTATGGTAGACGTGTGTAGGGTATGGGATGTGGACATGTTGGGGGCAAGTTGGACATGCTGCCGAAAAGCTCCAACATTGGGACAGATTTGACTTTGCCGCATTGACGAAAAGCTTGCTGCTAGCTCGGCTATTCCTTTGAAGCACAGTGGGTAACCTATTCTGTAAAACGCATTTGAATGTTGTAACTTGGTCAAACGAAGAAGTCCAATAAGTTGGATCGAAGCTGATGGAAGCCGCGTGAGGAAATTGCAGCAGCATGGCAACGATTCTTTCCGTCTTGCCCTCCTTTTGCACCATCACTTACAACAGCTTCGCTGTGATGCGCTATGCACTTAGGGAATTTTCATTGTATGCGATCCACGTCGCTTTAACATGGATGGACAGCCTGGCCCAGCCTTGAACTCCCGCCGCATGCGTTCACAGTACACCTCCAAGTGAAGCTCGCCCATGCCGGAGATGACGGTCTCATTCCTGCAGCGACGTCCATCAATCCTAGGCCCCGAAGTAAGATCTGCCTGAGGCCTGGCAGCCGAAACCAAACCTGATGATATGTGATTGGAAGGAGAACGCACGGCCACCAAACCCTCACCAAACCTCGAAAAAATATTAAAGGATTCTCTCCCATGTCCACTTGCATCGGCTCACCAGGAAACCCCACGTATCTTGCTTCACTTCCACGCGGAAGGTGGGATCTTCACCTCAGCGGCCAGCGGCACCCGCGCTCCCGAGAGAGTGGCCGGTTGGATCCCCTGGGTGAAGGATCAAAAGCCACCAACTGCAAGGCCCACACGTTGGAACCTTCTCAACGCCTCGTCCAAGCTCACAAAGGATAAACAAAAAAACTGGATATATAACAGGCTCATGCATCCCAGTTTTGCAATGAAGCTCACATATGGGCAAGCGTTTCCTGTGATTGTCTTGAGCTATTGGCCACATAAATGCTCACTCTTGCACACAAGCCTTCTGCATTCGACCTTGGTCATCCCGGGAGGCATCTATGGCGATGGACATTACCTCAGACGAACAGCCAGTTCACCCGTAGTTAATTTAGGAAGGAATAATAATATATAAGTTTATCAAAAAAGAAGTAAAACAAAAACACACAGTGTTTTGAAAAAATGCGTTGTTCGTCCATTATTTAATGTAGTAAAGAAAATATATATCTGTTAAAAAAAAGAATGCAAAAAGACGAACAAAGAAGAATATGTGCGTTTATTTCTTTTTTATGGCGAGTCCCTTGTTTGATTTATATAGTCATGAAGAAAAAGACGTTAAAGAAGAAGAAGAAGAAGGCAAATAATAAATTACATCAATTTCTCTTCAAGTTTTGCTTATGATTTGTCCCTTACTTCACTTACTAAGGGAAGAAGTATATCAAAAAATTAAAGAAGGCCCTGCTGCAAACAGAACAAATGTACTAAGCCAATCAGGCCCTTTCACCAGACAAAAATCTAAGAGCAAGGCTTTCAAAAAGAAAGACGCGCCTTCAACCCTCCACGATGTTCACAAGATTGGCAGCAAGAATCCACCTTGGAAGGCCTTAGCCTTGGACATTCATATTGCGCCAAGTACATCCACCCTTTCTTGTAGCAAAGCTTTTTGATAGTAAGCGGAAAAAAAGAATTATATAAGGGATGGATGGCTAGATGGATGGATCGGTAGAGTCAGAGAGAGAGAGAGAGAGACATGAATGAGAACACATTCAGCAGAAATTGTTTTCTCTAAGTGTTTTCTCTCGTATCCCTTCTGGGTCTGACATATTATATAGATATATAGGTCGATACACACGAAATGCACATGAATCAGGAAACTGCAACAGTTTCAAGAAAACACATCGAAAATGAAGCTTGTTGCGTTAAACGCGCTCGGCGGCGCATAGGGGTAAAACTTCTCCACCACCCCCCCCACTACCACCCCGCCAAACAAAATGGCAAGCTGCTGGGTCAGGAACAAACATGGAGCTGCACCTAGGATGTCATCCGACCACTCGCCAACGAAGGCCAACTCAAAAAGCGCACTATGAAGTAAGTAGACTTTTTTAGCATCTGCATCTGGTGCACTGATCTATCACCTTCCAACAGTGTCGGGCTTTAGTAACTTCTGTCATGGAGTATGACCTGGCTCCTCCTATCACTGTAAGAACCCTCGATGTCAATATGTCCATTTTGACAATGCCTTCAAAAGAGGTGGTCAAAGTTCACGGTTTGCAAAAATGACATGCAAATGAGTTGCTTCTAAATGGGGTTGATGCCTCTGGATGTGCTTTGATGTTGGTCTCACATTCTTTTGAACAAAAGGTCATCGGCACAAGGGTTGGCCCCTGTCCGTTGCGCAGCAATGTGCCCTTCTTCCAGCCTTACAATAGTCCTGTGTCTTCATCACGAGACTCTTGTCGCGTAAGAATTCAAGGATATAGGCTGTTTCTGAGGGAAATCACGAATGTCCGTCAACTTACAGTAGCAGAAACGCCACGACATGCTCACCATCCTTCAATTCGGTTTCAATGGTTAGGTTGACGCCATTGCTCTTAGGTTGGAGGCCGTCGCTCTTAGGATGACATCGCTCTTAGATTGCAGGCCATCGCTCTTAGGTTGGAGGACATCGATCTTAGGTTGGAGGCCATCGCTCTTAGGTTGGAGGCCATCGCTCTTAGGTTGGAGGACATCAATCTTAGGTTGGAGAGGCCACCACTCT